GATGTCCAGAGGGTCGGGGAGGGTGCCCCGTGAAGGAACTTGTCATTTTTCAGCATGCTGTTGTTTCTAATGATAACCAGAGAAATTCTAAGTCCAAGAATTAAGATGCTGTCCGTCTGGTGGACCAGGAGTTAAGAAAGATTTAAAAGCAAAAGCAAAACTAGGGAAATTCTGGCTTCCTTTTCATCCCTCTGACCAGAGATCAAGATCTGGCAACCTGAGACAAAAGGCTGGTAGGCATTCTCTCCTGCAGTAGCTGCACCAGCACCTCCACCACCACCATCACCTCCACCACCACCATCACCACCACCTCCTCCACCATCACCACCTCCACCACCATCACCACCTCCACCACCATCACCTCCACCTCCACCACCATCACCACCTCCACCACCACATGCTGGTCAGGTAAGCTCAAGGCCTGGATGTATTTACGCAAGGCTGTGGACTTATATCAGCTTCCCTTTCTTTGTCTGAACTGAGCAGCCCTAAATAGGGAAAGAGGACCCCCCCATTCCCATCGAAGACCCTGAAAACCCCTAGTCCTTCAGGAGAGGAAGTGCCCCCTCTGCTTTATAGGAGGTCTTTGTGTGAGTCCTAGCTGCCTTTCTGGTGTGTGTGTGTGTGTGTGTGTCTGTGCTGTGTGTGGTGTGTGTGGTCTGTGTGTGTTTCTTCCCCTTTAATAAAAATGGTTTTCCTCCTTTGCTTCTGTGGCTATATCTGAGATTCTCCTTGCCACCCCTTGTTGTGCTAGAGCTTTGCCTTTTAATTCTTTAGTTGACTGAAAAACACCTTGATCCAGACCCCTCGACAGTAACATGTAGTTCCCAAACCACAATCAGAAGCAAAGCCCAGTTAGAGGAGGATAGTCTGTTTTATAAACATTTACAAAGCTGCTGATATGGCAAGCTATTGAATGAACCATTCAATAATATCAGGCTTGCTTTCCGGTGCCAGATTGTTGTGATCCAGCTGCCCTCACTCCCCCTGACTGACAGCAGAACTTCCTTGTGTCTGTAATTGACAAGGATGTTTGTGTTCTTTCTGGTCGGTGGGTCTCCTCAGAAGAAGAAGAAAGAAGAAAGAAGAAGGAGTAGAGGTTGCTGGCAAAATAAAAGTTGCTGTTCTTCCACCTGAAAAGAAGCCTCCGTGTCTCAATCCCTGCACCCCCCGCCAGTCTTGGCTATCCAGGCTGCGCTGGCCGCAGAACCAGATGGTGTCAGATGTAGATTTTTTTTTTTGCTATTACCATTTTTTCTTATTTTTGTTGTCATTAAACTAAATGGTTCTCTCCCCCTCCTTCCCTCTCTCCCTCCTTCCCTCTCCCTCTCTCTTTTCTCTCTCTCTCTGCCTCCAATTTGCCAATAAGATGTACGCTGCCTGTCTGCTGCCATGTTCCCTGACACGATGGCCGTGGCCTCACCATCTGAAACTGTAAGCAAGCCCCAATTAAATCCTTTCTTTTGTAGGCTGCCTTGGTCATGGTGTCTCTTCAGAGCAGTAGAAAATCAAGACTAGCGGTGTGTGCTCTTTAGGTGCTGAGCCATCTTTAATTTTGTAAAGGGTTATTTGTATTATTTTTTACATGATGTGTATCTTATTCCCTTTGAGGTAAGAGCTGTGGTGTTTTGGGTTTGTTTTGTTTGTTTTTTGTTTTGTTTTGTTTGGTTGAGACAGGGTTTCTTTGTGTAGTCCTGACTGTCATGGACTCCTGTAGACCAGGCTGGCCTCGAACTCATAGAGATCTGCCTGTCTCTGCCTCCTGAGTGCTGGGATTAAAGGCGTGTGCCACCACCGCCCGGCCTTGTTTTTTTTAATTGTTTTTTTAATTGTTTTTGAGCTGAAAGCCATGCATGTGTAAGTTCCTGGAAGAGGCCAGAAGAAGGCACTGGAACTCCCTGGAGCTGGAGTTACAAGCAGGCATAGAAATTGAATTCAGGTCTTGTGGAAGAACAGAAAACGCTCTTAACCCCTGAGCCATCATCTCTCCAGCTCCAAGACTGTTTTCCACACTGACAATTTCTGCGTGTATTCTGCAACAGAGTGAATCTCTTCAAGGGACCAAGGACTATTATCCCCATGCCTCTTATGCCTATTGGTCCCTGGTTATAAAAGCCTCAAAAGTCCCCTTGATTTCTACTAATGGCTCTCACCCGATGAGACTTACACTATGCCACACGCCCTCTGAGGACCAGGAGCCCTGGCCCAGCAGAGTCCAGAATTCTAGAGATGAGCAACACCAAGACCTTCAGTGGCTCCTTAGGAGTGACCTTAAGCGGAGACAGGATCTATTCCTTGTTTCTAGGATTCAGTCTTCCTAGTATGGTCAGAGTACACTGGAGGCATACACACATGAGCTGTGCCTCCCAAAAGGTATTCCTTCCAGTGTTCCAACCCTGTTCTAGGCTCCAGCTTCCAGGCGGTACGGGAAGTACTAAAGCAGCCCTGTGGGGTCACTAGAGGGTGACGATCGCCTGTCAGATGGTCATTCATCTAACCCCAAACCTTCATGCCACAGCTCCATGTAGGCTGCCGGGAAAGGCTGCTCGCGTGAGGGGCTACCTGGACCCGAGGGAGGTTAGATGGATGAATCCAACCTCAGGACACTGCCGACCTTGCTCCTGTGGGGGGTGTGACAGTAAATATGGGCAGGATGCAGGAAGGGAGACAGTGAGGAAGAGAACACAATTTTTTTTGGGGGGGGGGGCTCGAGACAGGGTTTCTCTGTAGCTTTGAAGCCTGTCCTGGAACTAGCTCTTGTAGACAAGGCTGGCCTCGAACTCACAGAGATCCACCTGCCTCTGCCTCCCGAATGCTGGGATTAAAGGCATGTGCCACCACTGCCCAGCAAGAACACAAATTTTGATGCTGTCCTGGTGACTGGCCTTAACCCAGCGTCACCCTAGGCTGTGATATCTGTGTCTGCTCCTCTAACTCACAGGTTGTCCTGGGGACGCCTTTCCCTGAAAGCATCCACCCTGTGAGGGGAGGCGCAGCTCTCCCTTCTGGGGAGGAGAGTTGTACCTGCTCTAACTCCCAACTCCTCAGACTGGAGTCCTCAGAGCTGGTTCCTGTTCAGAGGGGCTGTGAGGTTGTTTTCCCTGTGAGAGTCACTTCCTCCCATTCCCATTCCTCTGCTCTGTAAGTCCCAACATCACGTGCATACAACAGAACCCCGCTATGACTGGGCTCCATATTTCACAAGACTCCTTTAGAGTAGGTCTGCCTTCAAACGTCTGATTACCAAGTTTGTCTCCACTGGAGTCAGTTTGTACATTTGCTTTATTTGAGCGCCGTGCGCCAGGGTCCCACAGTCTGAGTGTCAGTTATCTTTTGGAAGTTTGTGCCTCAGCGCTGGCACAGGGAGGGAGGGAGGGAGTCAGCTGTCCAGGTCCACGGTCACCCACTGAGCTGCGCGGCTCTTTTGGTGTGGTCCGTCTCTCAAGGTCTCTTTCTTCAGACACATCATCGCTTCTAACTTGCTAAGCGGAAGTTTCTTTCTTCCCCTCATCAGAAACCAAACTGACTTCTACATTGTAGTTTTTCCTTCTTGGCAACGCTTTATTTATTTTCACACAGAGAACTGTGTCCACCAAAAGCATTATTCCCATTGCCAGAGAGAAAAGGATGTGAAACCAGTCAGGGGGGGATGACGGTTGGTGACCTGAAAGAAAAAATCCTTAGACATTGGAGTGATCCAGTCAAGTTGTTTAGGAGACTGAGGAAGGCTGTCGTCCCCCAGAAATAAGTTCAGGGGACAAGAAATTTGCAGCCATTCCAGATGGGCCCTTCAGGTGGACCAGGCTCCTCGGGAATACTACACTGTCCTTAACTTCAGAGACAGCTGCTATTTCTGTATCTTTGATGCTTAAAGCAGGTTTCAAGACTCCTCCCTGCCAGAGCCTTGGTTCTGGAACTCATGAACCCTCCAACTCAGTCAGATACAGTCAGGAGAGTGTGTTGTCCGTGCAGGCCAACTGTAAAGCCATCATGGGAATCGTCATCAAAGCCCACACCTGTGTCCTGGCTAGTTTTACGTCAACTTGTCACAAGCTAGAGTTATCTGAAAGGAGGTAACCTCAACTGAGAAAATGCCTTCGTAAGATCCAGCTCAACTGCATTTTCTCAATTAGTGATTGATGGGGGAGGGCCCAATCCATTATGGGTGGTGCCATCCCTGCTCTGGTGGTCCTGGATTCTATAAAAAAAAAAAAAAGCAGGGTGAGAGAAACTCTGACTCAAAAAAACCAAAAGACAAAAAACAAAAGAAAGAAAAATAAGGCAGGTTGAGCAAGCCACGAGGAGCTAGCCAGTAAGCAGTGTTCATCCATGGCCTCTGCATCAATTCCTGCCTCCAGCTTCCTGCCTGGAGTGAGTTCCTGTCCTGACTTCCTTCTCTGATACGCAGTGCTCTATAAATGTAAGTCAAACAAACCCTCTCCTCCCCAGCTTGCTTTTGGTCACGGTGTTTCAGCACAGCGATAGAAACCCTCACTGAGACACCCCTAATGTGGTCTGCAGTGGGTGAATGGGGGGGAGCAAAGGGAAGTTGAGAGAGAGCTGCAGGGAGGGGAGACAGAAGATGAAGGAAACAGAAGGAAGAATGGGATGAAGGAAAGAAGGGGAATAAAGAAAGGGAAAAGTGACAGACTGGAAGAAAGAAGGGAATTCAGGGTAGGCGGGAGGGAAACGGTGCAGTTCTGACACATGGGGCTCCGCTCGTGAAGTGTGAAGTGTTCCCCTTCCCAGTCAGCTCCACGGGAAGAAAGAGACCCCCACTTCCCGCGCACTCACCAAATGTTCTAAGCTCCAGCTCAGGACTGTGCTTAAGGACACTGCCGTCCGCTGTGGCTACCTCACACCAGTACAACCCGGAATCTTCGCTTCCGACACTTGGTATGTGGTACTCTGAGGAGGTATTCCTATCCTCCAGGATCTTGCTGCCCACGTAGAAGGAGAAGTAAAGCTGCAAGCCAGGACTCTGTACGAGCAACTTTGTCTCACAGCTCAGGGTGACCGGACTCCCCTCCAGAAAGGGAGAAGACAAGGATGCGCTCAGCACTGGAGCTGCAAACAGCTCTAAAGAGAAAGTCATGGGGGACAGGGTGTCCCGTTCAGTGTCAGTGCCTCCAAAAGACTCCCCTTTGTGAATCTCGCCCCAACAGAATGAGTTCCCCCCGTTGCCAACAGAGAGGCATATTTCTAGTAGACCCGACCGGTCGGCAGTGTGTATGTGTTTGTGTGTGTGTGTGTGGGGAGCTCTGTCTACTAGGAAACATGGACCACACTGGCACTAACACGCACCTGCCAGCTAAGTCACTCGTTCCTTGTGCTCTTCAAAAGAGCAGCTGGGACAGTAATTTCTTCCCCCATAGAAAGGAACTGTTTTTCACACAGAAATACCTTGCCAGTGAGTTTGAACACTAAGATGGCAAGCCATGGAAAGAGTTGAAACAAAGACTGTGTGCAAATTGGACAGAGAAAGCTGTTTGGTTTGCAGAAGCTTAAGGAGAAGTGAGTTCAGATGTGACATGATCCCAGCCACACAAATGGAAAGCAAAAGCAATTCCTAATGTCTTTCTGGCTTCTAGGGAATTTCTATGGCAATTTCATGAGCTTTAACTAGAGTGTTTTCTAGCAGTTCTGGCTACCCTGAGTGAGCGAGTCTCAGGCCTTAGCAGCTAAAATAAATAGACGAAATATATAGCCGCTGTCCCCTGACTTTGACATGTGCCCCTGTGATCACTGATGGGCCATTGTGGGTGCTGAAAAGAGCAATGGATGGGGACTCTGAGACCTCAGTTCTGGTGCTGGCCCAGAAGGTGGTCACTGGGTGGCCTTCGGGGAAGCCATTTGCTTCCCTGGAACTCAGTTTCCTCTTTTGTAAATTGAGGTTTCTCTGGTCCTTTTGGCTGGGATTCTCATCTAGACCGGATACCTTTCACAGTGACAGCCATTTTGGCAGACTCGAAGCGGTGGTTTCTTCCCATTCCTGAGCAGTGGTAGACGCCATTGTGACTCAGGTTGGTTTTCAGAATTTTGACCTCAGAACCTCGAGAAAAGTTAAAGGATTTTCCATTTTGATAGAAAATCACATTGTACACCAGCTTATTCTTCCATCCATGGCATCGCAAGGCCAGAGGTTCTCCTTCCGTGAGGACTCTGCGGGAGGCCTGGAGTAGCAGCAAGTCTGAAAAGGGAGGACCACAGTGGTTGCAAGCACAGGGGAAGAACAAGGAGGCCGAGTCTTGGCCCTGGATACTTTTATATCTTACACTATTGCAACATTCCAACCTCAATCTCTGCTGTGGCCCACACCTTAGTCCCGCTATCAAATATCTTCTGCTTTGGTAGAAAGAAAAATGACCTTTCCCAGCAGCTGTGCACACTATCCTGTGCACACTACCCACCCCAGCACCCTTTCCCAGCAGCTGTGCACACTCCCCACTCCCCCATCATCCTCTCCAGCAGCTGGGCACACTATCCCTTCTCAGCACTCAGAAACTGGCTGGGACAAAGTTTACTTTGCATGGAAGACAGAATTCTTAGATGACCCCAATGATTCATACATACAAAACCCCTTGAATGTGTTGTACCCTTATGTCCAGCTTCTAAAGTCAAGAGAATATGACAAAGGCCAGGCACACATTTACCATATATGGCTTTTTCTTAGCAGGCTGGAGAGGGATGCTCCTGGTGGCCTTGAAGCAGTAAGCTGCTGTGACGTGAGGTTACCTGGCAAGGGCCTCTGGGAGCTGAGCTTGCCTCCCCACCCCCACCAGTGGACAGTTAATTAGAAAACGAGGACACCAGTCCTGTAACCGCAAGGAACTGAATTCTGCCAATGACTTTGTGAATCTGAAGGACTCAAAGGAACACAGTCCAGTCAACACCCTGACTACAGAGAGGCTGTGGAACCTGAACCGTGATCGTTCTGTGTGTTCGGGGATGTAGCTTTGTGATGCTTTGTTATGCTGCGCTAGAAAAGGAATATATTGTAACCGCTGGCGTGTCTGTTAGTGAAGATGAGGCGTTCAGGGAAAGTGGGCCTTACACTCTCCAGAACTCATCTACGGAGAGCAAGGGTGCAGTCACTGCCATGCGGGGCAGGGTCTGTGGTTTCGGTCCTCTGCCATGCGGGGCAGGGTCTGTGGTTTCGGTCCTCTGCCATGCGGGGCAGGGTCTGTGGGCTCAGTCCTCTGTCATGCGGGGCAGGGTCTGTGGGCTCGGTCCTCTGTCATGCGGGACAGGGTCTGCGGGCTCGGTCCTCTGCCATGCGGGGCAGGGTCTGCGGGCTCGGTCCTCTGCCGTGTGAGGCAGGATCTGTGGGTTTGGTCCTCTGCCAAGTAGGGCAGGGTCTTTGGCCTCAAAAACTGCCACGTTCCTTCTAAATGCAAGTAAGACCCAAAACTCAGCCCCACGCTGCCCAGACACACAGATGTCTTTGCTTTATATCTGAAATACAGTAGATTTTGATCTATCTCCTTATGAAAGGAACAAAACATGAATATGAGAAATGAGTCTGAAATTAGCCAGACTCGGGTCTGTATATCTCAGTGGACTTTTGCATAGTTAAAATCGCATCCAGAGTGGAGGCTGTGGGCCTTTACCTCAGGGTTCTATACTGTCACTATGGAATATATTTCCGTGTTGTTATCTATCACCAAAGCTGAAAAATCTACGACAGAGATAGACCCAGGAAAGTAATTAGCTTTATGTCCTCTTCCTTCCTTCCTTCCTTCCTTCCTTCCTTCCTTCCTTCCT